GATGGAAGCTTTGAAGCTTTTTTTATAGATAAAATAGATTACGTATAAGGAATATAGAGCTTTTGGAAAACAAAAATGCTTTTTATTGATGTCTAGAACTATTATTCAAACATATTTTTGAATAAATTTGATATCAGATTTTATGCAATTAAAGCGTACGAAATTGATAAATTCATTAATAGTTTTTGTTTTAAATTAAATATACATCAGAATTGCATTTAATGAACTAAAAAATTTAGAGGTCTTCAATCCAAATAAATACTAGATCCGAACCAAACTGAAATAACTGCTTCGAAAAACAAAACAAAGTTTAATACTAAGATGTAAATCGATTCAGTTTATCTATTTTAGACCCTAATCAGAAATTGAATCGAACCGAAAAAAAAAACAACTCATCAAAAACCTAATTCTTGTAAGAAAAATAAAAAAAAATGTATTTGATAAAACCTAATCTAAAGGGTTGATTTGGTTAATAACCAAAAAAAAAACATAATAATTAATCAAAAATCCTAAAATTAATGGCTATGATTAGTGCCATTAGGGGGTTTAACTTAGTTATTAGTTATTATGTTTCAATTTTTTTTTGGTTATATTTGCAATTTCCCTAATCTAAATCAAAACCAAACCAAACCATTCATATTAAATTATGTTTTATTTTTACTATTTTTATAAGCCGAAAATTTGAAAATCCAAAAAGCTTTAACATAAACTGAACCGAAATATGGATTAAACACACCCACTAAAAAATACATAACTTATTATTCATTTATAATTATAATAGTTTTCTTGTTAAAAAAGAAGCTTATCCTGAACCGAACAAAAAACAGTTTTGATCAAAATTTACAAACCAAACTAAAAAGAACTATGTTTCAGTTCAGATCTACTTACTATTTACTACAATAAAAAAAAAAACCGAAAAAATGGAACATGCGGACCAGAGAACATACCAGGGGCAGTAGTAGGAGGAGATGCAGGGACAGACACTGCAACATAACATATACAAAAATTTAATTCAACAAAATCCATACACAAATATGTGTGTATATAAACCAATATGAAAATTGTGGAAAAGGAAACTGACGGCCACATCGAGCAGAAGGAGGAGCAGCAACTTTACAGACAGAAGGAAGAGAAGCAGCTTTGGTAAGATCAAGAGTAACACCAAGGGAAGCACTGTTCTTAAAAGCCTCACAAAGACATTCAGGTCCTGACCTAACAACTGTCTTGAGCCCTGAGCAACATGTCCCTTCCGGTTTCTCTACCGTACTCCCACTCGTCACGAACGATAAACAATCTGCCATGTTTAGTATCAGCGACGAGCAGTCCACTGCTGCCATTACTCTATTACCGGACATCAATGCGACCGCCGTGAATATCACGAGGATAGCTCTTCTTGACACCATTGTAATTGGCAGAAGAATATGATGATGCGTGTCTTTTGGGGCTCCCTCGCCTTATAAATATATATGGAATATGTCTTTCTAGTGTGTTATTATTATTTATTTCAAAATTTTCGCCGAAAGAGAAGCCATTAATCATTACTTTCTCAGTGCGCTCTCTGGAATTTATGTTTAAATTTCGGACGTCAATAAATTACTCGAGATTGGAAGAATTTTAGGGTGTATTTGTAAGGAATATATAATAATATTCTCTTTTTTATTACATTGTTTTTAGTGATTCTTTTTTTATTGGAATGTTATTCCATAATATTTTTTTTTTTAAATTCCATAATATTTTTGGTGACCATTTAAATGGAAACAATAAAGTTAATTCATAACAAATCTCTATTTTGATAGACTGTTGAGATTAATTTTAAAAAAATCTTAAAGAGGAATTATATCCTCTCTTCCTTTATAAATATTTGCTATTAATCTATCATAAAATCATCTCAAATACACAATACATATTGAGAAGTTTATAGGCAAAGAGAGAGAAACCTAACTCCTACAGAGATCAAACTTTTCGTCTTCCATCATGAAATTTCTCTACTACAATAAATATAAATAATCCGATAATTTTTCTCATAAAATTTATTACGTGATTAATCTAGATATTTAACAATTTAAGATTCATGTAAATTATAACTTACAGTATTGTCAGAAAATATAAATAAATTATGGAAAACAGTGAACTGTAAATGAACAAGTGTAATGATGGGGGTGCTACGAAATGAATGTAAAGGTGGCAAAGGTTTTTCCATTTACACTTTTTCCTCTACATATCTTTTCTTTTTTTGAATGATGATGCACTCCACTGCTAGTCATCGCTTACTTTTCAGGTTTGACACATTCTTTTCAACCATTTTATTTGCCTGTTTTTTTTAAAAAAAAATTGTACCCGTTTAAAGCATTCGTATTAACAGAAAATTAACTTCTGTTATTTTATTTTTTAATAATAAAATATTATAATAACTAAGACTCGAACCTCCGCAAAATCGTGGGAGAAAAAATTATTTGTTAAAAAACAATTAAAATTATATTTAATATGATAATAAATAAGTATACAATGTAAATATAAAAATATTTTTTAAAGGTAGAAATAAAATGATGAAAATGTATTTGCAAACGCATAACATTACAAACTATTTTTAGAATTATGGAAAATAACCATAAAATGGTTATACTGGAAATACGTAATATTTGAAAATCGGTTAGTTTTGAAAGGACACAACCACAAAACAATTATATTAAAAATGCGCAGCCCTTGGAAATAACGATAAAGTGATTATATCGAAAAAACGCAATCTTTGGGAATAACCATAAAAAGATTATTTTAAAAACAATACAACCATAAAGCTGTTATCTACATATTAAATGCAACATTTGGAAATAATTAGAAAGCAGTTATATCAAAAAGACGCAACTATTAGAAATAACCATAAAACGGGTTTTTCCTAAAGGACATAATCTTAAATAACCATAAAGCGGTTATATAAAAAGGCAACTTTTGAAAAAGAGGTTATATAAAAAAAGACCTCTTAGAAATAATTATAAAGCGGTTATATTGACTAAACGATTTTTTTCCGAAAAGACACAATTTTGGAAATAACGATAAAGCGGTTATTTTTGAAAAAATACAACCATAAAGCGGTTATCTATATAGTAGATGCAACCTTTGGAAATAACCATTATACGATTATATCGAAAAAACGCAACTCTTAAAAAAATGGTTATATAAAAAAGACGCAACCCTTGGAAATAACTATTTAATGGTTATATCGAAAATGCAATTCTTGTAAAATCGGTTATATAGAAAAAACGCAACCCTTGACCCACAAAAAAAGTTTTTCCTTCCTCATTCATTTCACGGATTGAAACCATAGCTATTCGTCTAACCAATAAAATAATTCATAGACTTTTATGCCATTTAAATTGATTTATTTTTAATTTAGAATTTTTAAATCGTCCAATGCATATAAAAAATATAATTGAAAACCAAATTGCTTGTGGGTGCCTCTATTTTGTAGTAATGTTAACGCGGCTTCAATATTTCGATGTATACAACCCGTAAAAATTTCTTTCAAATATAAAGAATCAATGTTTCCGTAGAGAATTGTTAGATTTTATTAGTTTTTTATATGTAAAATTTGCCATAAAATCTATATTGTCTAAAAAAATCCAAAATTCTTTACACAAATCAAAAATTTTTGGAACTTTTACAATAGTAAAAACTTTAATACTATTAAATAATTTGAAAATAATCGAATGACTTTTTTATCTTTGCTATGTGTTAAGTTAATTACAGAAACAGTAGGCATGATTAACAAAATGTTCAACGAGATAAAAAATGAAAAAATACATTCCCTCCGTTTCAAAAATATAAGTTGTTTTAGTTAAAATCGTGAATATTAAGAAACTACTTTAAAAAAATATATATTTTTTAATATATATAATACAAATAATTTACCAAATAAAAAAAGAGACTGTTGAATATTATTGGTCACACAGTATTCAGTAAAGTTAAAAAAGTATATAAGATTGTCAAAATAATTTATATTTTGAAAAAAAAAACCTCCAAAACAACTTATATTTTGAAACCTCCAAAAAATAACCACCAAACGATTTTTTTTTACGAAAAAGACACAACTTTTCAAAAAGATGCAACCATTAAAAATAATTACTATATATAAACCTAGAAGTCACACCCTAAAAATATTTATTTTTTTGGGTTTACTATTATATATAGATAATTTTAAAAAAAAAATAAAAGAATATTTACTTTTGACATATATCTTTGAGTAT